GGAAGGAGATTAGAGGATCATAGTCCAGTCCTAGGAAAAGTCCGTGTGAGGGCCTATCTGAACAAGCAACTAAAAAGCAGAAGGGCTATGGGTGTGACTCAAGTGGTGGAATGCTTGCCTAGCAAGAATGTAGCCTTGAGTTCAATCCCTCATACTGCCCAAAAGAAGAATGGGATATAAATGGAATGATGTAATATGTCGCCTTGTCACATAGGCTTTGTTCAATCGCCATCAATGCCTAGAAACCTGTCCAGGTGTCTGTGTGTGTGTGTGTGTGTGTGTGTGTGTGTGTGTGTGAACAGTTGCTGAGAAGCAATATGGGAGACCATAGTGTCCCAACGTGTTCAGCCTGTCATGGGTCCGAGGTCATCTGAGCTGTCCCCACATTGTAGCATTTACAAACAAAGCTGCATTCATGAACATTCGTGTACATACGTTCCTTCATTTCTCTGCATAGATTCTCCAAACAGTAGTTGCTAAAATTGTGCCCCCAATTGTACGTTAGTCTTATCAGAAACTGCCAAACTGTTTTCTAGTGCCTATAGCCATATCTACTCCCCTCTGGCAGTGTGAAAGTGACCCATTTTCTCTCCGACCTCATCAGCATTTGGTGCAAGCTCTACTTTTACATTTTTTGTAGCTGTTCTGACACATACATGGGATGCCTCATTGTGGGTTTAATTTGCACTTGCTTAATGGCTAATGATAGGGAACATCTTTTCATGAGTTGATTTGCCATCTGCAGGTGCTCTCCTGTGAAATATCTGTTTGTGTCTTGTCTCCATTTTCTAATTGGGCACTTGATGGGGATGTTTATCATTGTTTGAAGGCTTCTTTTTGTGGAGAGGGGGAGATGGCGTGGTGCTTGAACTGGGCCTCATACTCAGCTTGTTTGCTCACGGCTGGGGCTCTACCTCTTGAACCCTACCTTCTTTCCACACTTGCTTTCTGGCAAATTATTTTGGAGATTAGAGCCTCTTGGACTTTTCTGCCTGAGCTAACCTTGAACTTTGATCATCCAGATCTCAGCTTCCTGTGATCATAGGGATTAGCCACTGGTCGATTGTAGGGCTTGAACTCAGAGCCTAGGTGCTATCCCTGGGCTCTTTTTTCCCAAAGTTAGTGCTCCATCACTTCAAGCCACAGCTCCACTTCTGGGTTTTGAGTGGTTAGTTGGATTTAAGAGCATCTTGGGGCCTTTTCTGCCCAGGTTGGCTTCAAACCACAATCCTCAGACCTCAGTCTCCTGAGTAGCTAGGATTACAGGCATGAGCCAGCAGTGCCTGGCTGAAATTTCTTTACATACACTAGAAACTAACACTTCCTGAATATGTGGTTTGCAAATATTCTCTCCTTTCCCATCCATAGTTTATTCTTTATCATCACCGTAAGGCCTTTCACAGAGTGAAAGCCTTTAATTTTGAAGAAGTCCAACTCTTCATGTTATAGGTTGTACTTGCACTATTAAGTTGACGAGCTTCCAAGCCTAATTAAAAATAGTTTCTCCTAAAAGTCTTATATAAGTCCATGATCCATTTGGAGTTTTATATAAGAGGTGGAACTTGAAGAGTGGGTTCATTTTTTGGCCTATATTCATTTAGGTGCGTTTCGAAAGGTCGTAGTCCTGACAGCAAACTTCTGAAAAATACATTACTGATATAATCCCATTTTGTGGATAGAAAAACCTCAAAGACATCTGGGAAAATGGCCCAAACCCCAAAACTTCTCAGCCAAGCACTGCCCAGGACTGAACACCAGGCTCCTGACTCACGCTCTTCCCTTGCATTTTACCACTGCTCTTATTGCCCTGCTCCCTCCCTTTCTCTCTGCTTCCTGCTTCCTGGGCAGAGGCTCCAACTTCCTGTACACATGCCTTTGGGCTGCGCAGCCTCTGCATAGAAGCTACCAGAGGTTTGGAGCCTGCCAGAAACCTGTCCCAGGTGGAGAATGAGGACAGTTGTGGGGGGGGGGGGGAATGTCCCTGTAAGCAAATAGCTTGTCGTTCTGGTTTGGAGAAAGGCTCCAATTGGATTTCAGCATCCTCAGAGAATTCTAGAAGTACTCAGCCAGCTAGATCCCAAGTCTGAAAAATCTCAAGTTCTCCAAAACAGACAGACACACAGGCATGTATCCATGCACACACACACACACACACACACACACACACACACACACACACACACACACACACACACATTCACTTAATCCAAATCCAGAAAATTTCTATCCTCATTCTGTCAAAAGAACATGCATTGGTAACAGTCAGCAGGAGAGACTTCCAGGGCAAACCTTTGTTCTGGTGGACATGCGCACAGTGGACCAAACCCATCTCAGGCCCCTCCTCTCACTGACAAGTCAGCCTCACAGTAGGAGCTGCTCTGCCCGACCCCTCCAGCTGATGACTTCCCAAGGGGCCAGGAACCCAAACTTCAGGCTCTCAGACCCCTGGAAAGTCAGCATTCTCCGGGTTGGCCTCACTCCCTCTCAAGTCGCCCAGCTTTCCCAGTTTCTTCCAGGGAGACTCAGAGTTCTTTATCTCTAGGACCTTCTACTCAGGACTTCCCCTCCCTTCTCCTAGACCGGATCCAAAGGCTCCTACGTTCTTGTGCTGGCCCATGTTAGATAAAAGGGGAGCACAAGCCAAGGTCTGGATATGTCTCAAGCCTCTGGTGGTTGCTCTAGGTAAATGCTTTCATGTTTCTGTTTTACCTGAGACTTCAAAAGTCCCAGCAGTGCTTCAACCCATGATTTGCTTGTTCTAACAGGTAGACAGCATTCACACCCTGGCTCCAGCCCTCCCTGAATCTCCACCCAGGGTCAAAACACAGAGGTATTTTGTTTGGGATCCATCCAGGCAGCCTGCCCTGAGCCCTGGCATCCCTTCTCCTGGGGTGGCACTTCCTTCCCTGTTCCTGTCACCATTGGCATACAGCTCCCACTTCCTGTTCTCCCTGGAGAAACATTGCAGGTGTACCTGGGCCAGGACACTGGATGGGCTGGCTCAGGTGGTCTACACTCACTGCTCCCTCCCCGGGTCTCAGCAGACCTTGATACAGGACAGAGACCTCAGACTCTCTGGGGCTGCCTAGAGCTTTCTCCATCTCTGTAATCACCCACACAGCGGGAAGTAACCCCTTGTTCTCCCAGACTTGTCAGGGAGGCTGGCGGGTTGAACTTACTGCTCCAGAGACAATATGTTCTATAGACAGAGCAAGCTGAGGCCCTCCCTCCAGCATTGCTGTTGGAGTCAGTGTCCTGCTCCGCATGCAAGTCCCAATCCTCTACCCTCTTTGAGAGAGCCTGACTCTCTTTACCCTTTTGCCCATATTCTTTTATCGTTTTATTTCATTTTTTTTTGAAGCAGACTGAGCAAGTGTATTTGAAAGTTAAAGAAAAGAGAGAAAGACTTGCCAAAGAAAGTAGCTCCAAAGAGGAGTCCTAAAAATAAAAAGTAGGTTCTCAACATGTCGCTTAACTATGATGTCTCGAACTCCCTGAGAGCCGGGCTTACAGGCATGTACCACTTGACCTCACTGTCAGTATGTTGTTAAAAGGCTTTCCCTTGCCTCTCCCTAACTTCTACAACCCATTTCCACTAGACCGGGTTTGAACATCAGCTACCCCTAAACTAGTTATATGTCACTGATCTTGTCTCTATAAATAGAGAGATAAAGACCTCATAATATTGGTGTGTGCTTAAGCAAGAAATTATCCATAAACCATGTGTAGTAGGTAAACAAGCTATTGATCTCAGAACAACAATGGCCATGGTCAGTCCCCAGGGCCAACATCTCCGAGCCGATCTTCCATCTTTAATCGATTTGCCAGGATTCACCCTAAGATGTTATGTGCACTAGCTCTTCCTACTATGAGTTCCTGTTGGTGTGTTATGTCTGCACTGTCCCTTGGGAGACTGGTGACTTGGTGATACACTTTAGGGCTCCTCTAGGTTTGAACCCAAGGCCAGGTGTTCGTTCCTCTGGTAGATGGGTTCTTCAAGTGGAACTCGGTGGCTGTGGAGATGTCTGTAGACTTCCCTGCTCAGCTGTAGGAGAGAGCTAGTTAAGCCTGTCCACCCCACCAGAGATTCCTCAGCAGCATGAATCCAATGTAAGAGTGAGGGAAGGGGTAGGGAGGAGAACAATGTGAGAATGTGGAAAGGGCTGACACCGATCAAGACATATTGTGTCCATAAACTGCATTCATCATCCCCTCCCAGGGTCCTATTTAGTGACTGCTGGCAACTCCTTTGTACAACTACTTAAAGACAAATTTTAAGGCTCTACAAGGACATCCCTCCCTCACCTTCCCCCCTCCCCCATCAACTCTCTGCTCTGAGCTCTCAGGCCAGATTCCTGGCCACCCACCACTGTTTTGAAGTCCTCCTAACACATGAAGCCATCCCTGGGGCCTCCTCTCTGGCATGAAGCCACCTCCTGATAACAGGGCCAGGAAACCTCCCTCTCCCAGGTCCACACCTTGGCTTGGACCCCAGAGAGCAGCACCAGGAAGGGGAGTTCTGTCTCCCCTCCCTACTCCCCTCCTGCTGACCCTCATGGCTAGCCTGGAGAGCAGCAAGTCTACTAGTAAACAAACAAGCAAGCACATCCCTGTGACAGAAGTTTGAACCTCATACTTGCTGGGGGGATGAGCTTCTGATTGCCAGATGGGTCCTTGCTCTCCTCCCCCCCCAATGCAAGGACAGACACTGGCTCCTCAGTTCCTCCCCAGTTCAAGAGTTAATCATCAAAGGCGGAGCTTGAGGGGAAGGCACTGAGTAGTCAACTCTCCTAACCCTTCCCCGAGCCTCAGGCTCAGGGCTGGGCTTTGCCTGCCTGGGCTGGTCTGAATGGCACTCTTGAGTGGAGGAGGAGGGAAGACCAGTTCATTCACCATCCCCACCCTCCCAGAACCTGAGGAGCAGGAAGCCACAGCACCTCAGGAGTCCCAGGCTGCAGGCCTCGCAGGCCAGGCACAGGCCAAAGCGGCCTCGGGACCCCATGGCCGCCAACGCCATGGAACAGCGGCTAGGCAGCCTTCTGGTCTTCACGCGAGATGATTTCGAGGATGACTGGCATCGAGTAGCCAGCGGTGGCTTCGGCCAGGTGTTCCAGGCCCGGCACAAGCGCTGGAGAACCCAGTATGCCATCAAATGCTCCCCGTGCGTCCAGCACGATGCCAGCAGGTACCCGCTACCCTCCCCCCTCCTGCTTCAGAGAAGAAACTGAGGCCAGATTGCGCTTTGGGCCCAGGGAGGGGTGGACTGGGTCTGAGAGGGAGGGCCGTCCCTGGCCAGTGTCCTGAGCTTCCCAGGCTCGGCCTTGTCTTCGTCTGTACATGAAATACACCAGATGTGCAATGCCTGTTTGTGAAACCAACCGAGGTCAAAGGTGAATGGGAACCACCCTCCCCCCCAAAGTCTTTGACCTCATAAACTTGTCCTGCCTCTTTCCCTGGGGTGTAGTGACAAGGATGCTGGCTGTCCCCTTACCACCTCTTTGTCCCCACCCCAGCCTCTCAGGGCTGGTGCTGAGCTTCCTGAGAGGTGTGGCAATTTGCTTAGTGACCTGTAAGGAGCTACCTTGTCTTTTCCCCAAGTGCACACTGGTTTGCTACTGGCTGAGAAGGTTTGGGGGGGGTGCAGTCTTTCCAGGGTGCTGGTCTCCTAGCTTGGCCAGGCCTTTACTGGCTCTCCAGTAGCTCCTATTAGAATGTCAAATCAGAAGTACTCTGATGTCCCATCCTTTATGGATTAAGGACACACACACACACACACACACACACACACACACACCACACACACACACACACACACACACACACACACACACACACACACACACACACACACACACACACAGAGGCATGCTTTTCTTTTTCTCTTCCGGCCTTCCCTGTTCTGTTCCCATTCATCGCTGCTGTACTACTGAGATGGGTTCTGGTTTCTTTCCTGATGGGTTTCATGCCCCAGCTGTATTGTAAGGAGTGCCAGGAAGGCGATACTTGGAATATTAAATCCAAGCATGAAAGCCACATCTTCCTCCCCAGACTCCTGAGATACCAGGGGTTGATTGGCACCACCTGACTTGGATATTCTTTGACATGTTCTCTGCTGGCACCATAAAAACTCTCCAAACATCACCTCAGCCAGTCCTTTCGTTCCTGGAGAGCCTCAACCACCCCCCACCCCACATGGAGAATGGCAAACAGAGACAGACTAAGGTTAACCCCCAGCCACTCAACATCTACCTGCTGGCTTTAGAATAGGATCAGATCCTTCTAAGATTTGCAGAAACAAAAAGAGACTGATGGTGCTTGACACACGGGCACATTAGACAAGGATGCTAGCTCCCACTGTAATTCCTTCCTGAGGGCTGGAAATTAGCTGGTAGGAAAGGGTAAGGGAGTTCATGGTGAGTAAGGCCTTCTATGTACAAAGCATGAGGTTAGAAGTGTGTTGTGAATTCCTTTACTAGATCTTCCATCCCTTTACTCATGCAGTAGAACGCTTATTGTTTCCCTACTATGCTTCAGTCACTGAACGGAACCCTTGGAGGCAATGAATGATGAAGATAGGCCCTGCTTCCCCAGTGTTTGTATCCTGGGGGAAAAACACATTACCCAAGCAACTAACCCCAAGCAAGTGTGTTACTATGAGATGGGTAAAAACGCCTAGAGGTTGATGTGGGGCCATAAACCCAGGAGAGCTCATTAATCCAGAGTCTTGCCTGGGTCACCAAAGGCTTCCCAGAAAAAAGGCTTCCCAGAGAAAAGTCACACGTTATAGCTGCAGTGGGAAGAGTTGTTATGGGCAAAGAGTCCACCACTCAGAGACAACCTCATGTAAAAAGATGACTTTATTGGGGAAGTGGAGAGCTGACCAGGGTTGCAGGACAGACTCTGGAGCTGAAACTGCAACCTCAAGCGACCCACAAGCTAGGGTTTTTAAAGGCAAAAATCCATGTGGTCAAGCCACATGCAGGTGGCCAATGGGATTGTAACACACCCATAAAGACTGCATATTTATGTCAGTGGCCGATGGGGTTACAATCTATCTCGTAGTATCTGTTTGAACTAAACTATCATTCTGGATTGAATTGGCCCACGAAAAGCAGGAGGATAGTCTTACTCCTGGGGGTAGAGATAAGGCTGCTCCTTCCGGGAGGGGTCAGGGTGGCTGGGCTATTCTACTATTGTTAACCAAACAGGGCTGCAGATCTTATTTGGGCTAATGATAACCAAACCAGGCTCAGATCCTGTCTGGGCTATTCAGATCCTGTCTAGGCTATTCAGATCCTGTCTGGGCTATTGATAACCAAACAGGATTCAGATCTCACAACCTCATCACAACAATCAGCAGGGCTTTCCTCATTTCCTGGGGTCTCAACAAAAAGCATATTTCCTGACCCTGGGATCTTGTGAGAAACCAGTATTTTGATTCTCAGGGGTAGGGGAGAAAACTCCTGATATATTCAAAATGGGGTTCTTTTTGTCTCCGCCCCCCCCCAACAGAATGAGTGTGAGTAATGGAGGCCAGAAGGAGAGCGTGTTCTAGGAGCAGGCCACAGAGGGTGCAAAGGAAGTGTAGCAGGAAGTCAGGGAAGCAGAAGGGTGGGGAAGAGTCTCTGTGGCTGGAGCTGAGAGTGATGGGGGCAGTAAATCGGTCAGCTCTGCCGCCTGGGGAGTGGACAGAGGCACAGAGCAGACGCTGGCTCTGTTAGGAGAATCCCCTGCTCAGATGCAGGAGAGCTGGCTGGTGACTATTCCTGGAGACTGAGGAGGCCTTGGAGGAAAGTTCCAGTACTATCAGCCTGCAGAACCATCTCAGCTTTTTGTTTTGTTTTGTGTTTGGTCAGTCTTGAACTCTCGGTCTGGGCGCTGTCCCTGAGCTCTTCAGTTCAAGGCTAGTGCTCTACCACTTGAGCCACAGTGCCACTTCTGGTTTTCTGGTGGTTCATTGGAGAGAAGAGTCTCACAGACTTCCCTGCCCAGTCTGGCTTTGAACTGCGATCCTCAGATCTCAGCCTCCTGAGTAACTAGGATTACAGGCGTGAGCCACTGGTGCCCAGTCCCATCCCAGGTTTTTAACACCATCATTTCTCCCTAATCCCCTTCTCCACCATCCGCAAACAGTCTATTGTGCAGTGCATGGCAATGTGCTGGAGTGAGTACACAGATCGCTAACTACCCCTTGTGTGTAAAGGCCCCGTAGCCATGAATAGCAAGGTGGAGAACTTAGATTCTGGCCCCTCGTGCTGTGTGGCTCAAAGAAAGAGGAGGAAGGAGCAAGAAGAAGGAGAAAGTAAAAAGTGACAGCATGAAAATGTATCCTAAAAGAACATTCTAAAACTGTTAACAGAGGCCAACTCCACAAGGCTGGATTTGTGGTGATTTAACTTCTTTTTTAAACAGCTCTCGATATTCCCTAGGTATTCTACAAGGTATGTGTATTGCTTTCATAAGCAAAACGGCAATCAATGATATTTTAAAACAGAAGCATAAGGCAGAATATTGGTCCTCTGAGGGCTTGAAATCTGCTGGGGGAGATAAACAAGTAAACAAGCACTCGGGATAAATGGCAGGCTGTGGTACAGTGCTTTGCATGAGTTGCTCTGCAGAATGCACTTGCTCCTAAGTCTGCAAACACCTCACTTCCTATCTTGTGGCTTCCTGACACTGAGCTTTCATGCAAGCTGCGCACATGTCTAGGTTTCTCTGGGTCTCCTCTGCTTGGCATCGGGTTGTGTTTGTGTGTTCTGCTGATTGCTCTAGTAATTGACGGCTTATCCTCTTCCATCTCTCACTCCTCACTCTCGGTAGCTCTGATGTGAATTGCCTCATTGAAGAAGCCGCCAAAATGGAGAAGGTCAAGTTTCAACACATTGTATCCATCTATGGGGTGTGCAGACAGCCCTTGGGCATTGTAATGGAGTTCATGGCCAACGGCTCTCTGGAGAAGATGCTGCCTGCCCACAGGCTTGGCTGGCAGCTCAAATTCCGCATCATCCATGAGACCAGCTTGGCCATGAACTTCCTCCACAGTATTAAACCACCGCTGCTCCACCTGGACCTCAAGCCGGGCAACATCCTGTTAGACAACAACATGCACGTCAAGGTGAGGACCTTAGCCAGCCTCCTGCCTCTCCTCTTTGTTTTGTGTCAGTCCTGGGGCTTGAACTCAGGGCCTGGATGCTTTCCCTGAGCTTTAGTGCTGTCGGCTACCATTCTACCGCTTTCTGGGTGGTTACATGGAGATAAGAGGTTCATGGATTTGAGGCCTGGGCTGGCTTTGAACCATCAGCTACAAAAACATGCATACTCATTTCTACCCTAGAACATTTGTATATGCTCTTTGCCCCTTCCCCTCTCTTTATCTAAATAAAGTTCTAATCAGCTTTTAGTTCTCCAATTAACCATCATGACCCTGGAGAGGCCATTTCTGAACTATCCCAACAGGCTATCACGGTGTACATTCTGCCTCTCTTCATTTTACTATCCCCAGTTGCAGGTTTAATAACCCTTTGTGAACTGTGTGCACACCCTATCTGAGGCCCTTATATAGGTACAGACTGTGGTGCTGGACCCTACCCTTAGTACATCAATGAATGGCCAGTTGGTGAATGAGTGACCCAGTGGTTGGAACTAGAGGAGAACATAGGTGCTGTAATGTTTCAGGGCCTATGCAGGTAGGAAGAACAGAGCTCATGGAAGCTGAATCCAAGTGGTAGATCCGGGAGACAGTGTAGAAGGAATCTACTACACTATTCAGCAATAACATCTACCGATAGCCAACAGTGTCTTCTGTGGCTAGGACTCTTTTACATGCCCATCCCTGCCTCTCTCCCAGATATCTGACTTTGGCCTGTCCAAGTGGATGGAACAGTCGACCCGGATGCAGTACATCGAGAGGTCAGCTCTTCGGGGCACGCTCAGCTACATCCCGCCTGAGATGATCCTGGACAGCAACCAGGCCCCGGGGCCCAAATATGATGTGTACAGGTGAGAGAAATCTGCTTCATGGCATACATACCCTGCCAATTAGTGGGTATGGCCAACAGAGAGGACATGACCAAGGTGAGACCGGCCTCTCCCTCCCGTGTGGAAGGGACTCCTACTGGAGAGAATTTGCCTGGGATTTGATAGACCCAGATTCTGTGTGTGTGTGTGTGTGTGTGGCGGGGGGGGGGAGGAGGCGTTGGCTGGGGATATCTGACAAGGCTCTCAGGGAGCGTATTCCCCTTTACAGCTTTGGGATTGTCATCTGGGAGCTCCTCACTCAGAAGAAACCATACGAAGGTATCAGAGGGCTGTAGCTTTCCATGGGTGGGGCAGGGGCGGACAGCGACCCCTCCCAACAGGGTCCTGGGAGGGGTTATGGAGGCTGAGGTCCGTGAGGGATGGAGAAGCCACAGGTCTGTGCTGGGGAAGGGAAGCTCTTCAGGGATTCCTGCCTCACCCTCCCTCCTCCTATCCTGCCTGCCATTCATTCCCACAAGTCACCCTAGATGTTTTGCTATGGCTTTCATATCCTAGAGACCCAGATCAGAGCTTAAAATGGCTCCACAATCTAGCTCTCCTCGAGTACTCAGCCCCCACCCTCCTGCCCAACCCCTCTGCCCCTACCTCCCAGCACTACCCAGCCCAGACCCCCTCTCGCAGGGCTCAGCATGATGGCCATCATCATCCGTGTGGGCACGGGCATGCGGCCCACCGTGCAGCCTGTCTCTGATGAGTGGCCAGGCGAGGCTCAGCAGATGGCAGACCTGATGAGGCGCTGTTGGGACCAGGACCCCAAGAAGAGGCCATGCTTCCAAGGTCTTCATCCCTGGGGGCCTGGGCAGGGGGGAGGGGGCAGGAAGGAGAAGGCCGGGCTCAAGCCCACTCCTGAGAGCTACGCAGTCTCCTGCAGCTCTAGGGATTGGCAGCCCATGGGTCTCTGCATGACAGGGACAGCAGGAGGGCACTGGAACCCGGCAGCGGGGGACAGGGCTGACCTGTGTGTGCCCAGGTGTGTGAGTCTACAGGAGGTGGTGTAGAAAGTGCTCACTCGCAGCCTGCCTCTGATGCTGAGCTCTGCAGCCAGCCCTGAACAAATCCCAGAACATGAGGTCACAGGCTTGAAGGGACAGTGACATTATCAGGTCCTTTAGGGACTATGAAGAAATACACATACAGAGCACATACATAGACACATTCCATAGGGACACACACGCAACACACACACATACCATGTACCTACACACACCACATGTGCATACTATATGCACACACTGTGCACACACCACACACACATAACATACACTATCCTTTACATATACACAGACACGCCACACACACATACACCATGCATATACACACCACACGTGCATACCATAGACACACCGGGCACACACCACACACAAATCCTAATACACACATTATACACCCCCCTCCACATATACAGCATACACGTATACACCCATGCACATCCCCAACACACAGCACATACACGCACAAGATCTTAGAGCTACTGTGGTCCTGTGTCCTTGTTCTATGAAAAAGGACTATGACCCTCAGAGGGTCAGCAACTGTGGCCACTGTGCCCTGACAAGTCCAGGCTTGGAGGGGAGAGTGTATACCTGAGCCTGCAAACGGGCTGTAGAGGGACACGGGGAATGCAAAAATGAGGATAGAACCATGGGCCAATCTGCAACCTCCTTTCTCTCTCTCTCTCTCTCTCTCTCTCGTGGAGCAGATATCACCATTGAGACAGATATGCTTCTGTCCCTGCTCCCGAGCCCTGTGGCAGAACTGGAGAGCGAGGCCCTGGCTCGGAAGGTGTCCTGCAAACCATCGCTGCACCGGGCCAGACAGGTGGGTGTGGCAGGCTGGGCTGACGTGTGTGTGTGTGTGTGTGTGTGTGTGCGCGCGCGCGCGCAGGCTGTGTTGTTCAAAAGGCTGCTGGAGTGGGGCGGCAGTCAGGGAGAGCCAGCCCCCACGTGCCAGGGAGGTCAGCGGGATCTTACATTTACATTGGGGAGGCAGTGTCTCCCCATCTGCTCAGAGTGTGCTGTTAAGAACCTGGGGCGCCACTGCTTAGGGCCCCTGGAAAGAGCAAAGCATCTCTGGTGCGTGGGGTCCTGCCTCAGCTGCCCCAGTGTCCTCTGTAGTCCTGACCCTGTCTGGGGCCTCCTGGCTGAGCTTCTTTCTCTCTGTCTCTTGTGGGGCAGAGATCGCCATTGAGACAGGTAGCTTCCATCTCAACATGCAGGGCGGGGGTGGGGACACGCGGCCCCCAAGCTAAGGCCGAGCCCCAGGGCCACCTCCCACTGTGGGTCTCTCCCACTCAGCATTTCCCTCCAGGCATGGGAGCAATGACACATGAGGAGGGTCTCCCCAGGTCAGAGTTGGGGTATGAGTCTGGAGTGGGGTGGCGGGGAGGACGGGGGTAGAGGGGACAGCACTGATCTGCCCTTAATCCACACCAGGTCAGTGGAGAAGTCAGCCCGGAGCTAACAGACAACGGTGAGTCCAAGGTGCTGCACTGGGAACTGAGAATTCACAGTGGGGAGGAGCAAGTGGAGTCCAACCGCAGGCCTTCCTCCACACCTTCCCTGGCTGTCCCAACTTGGGGCGGCATGGACCTTTCTCAAACCTCAGCTGAGTAGTTCGATAGATGACAGACAGACAGACAGACAGATAGACAGACAGACAGACAGACAGACAGACAGACAGACAGACAGACAGACAGACAGACAGACAGACAGACCGATCGATCGATAGATAGATAGATCGATAGAGGCAAAGAGACAGATTGACTGCCTCCACTTCTGTTCCTATCCGTGTCCTTGAAAGAACAGTTTCCCTAGATCTTGACCTGAGGTACAGCATGGATTCTCAAGGCATGATAGAATTACTTAGAAAAACAAGAAAACCCACAATGCCTGTGGCTCATCCTAGACAACTCTTGTCAGATTCTGTGGGGGGCGGGTCAGGTACTGTCTTTAATTCATTCTGGTACCTCATCACCGGGTGGAGCAGAAGAAGAGCGGCCTGGAGGCCTTAGGGGAGAGTTCACATCCTAGATGGTCCATCCATGAATGTATTTCTGACTTGCATTGACTTCGCTCCTCTGTAAGGTCTCCACCTAGTCTAGCCTCACACTGGGAGAAAGAGTCTGCACTGTTTGTTTTCCTTTTCCTGAACCAGATGTGGCTGCTCAAAGAGGCAGAGAACTGGCTGAGGCTATGGATGGCTCAAGGGTCAAGGAAGATTCATACCCAAACCTCCTGCATCCCAGGTTTTTTTCCCCTCCCCACTCTGGGCAGCAGGCTCAGTGCTCCAAGAGAAGGGAGCCAGAGTCTAACAGTAGCAGTGTCCAATGTATTCCATCCTTAATGCCCAGAGGGCCATTGCCCGCACCCCTCTCCTCTCTGATTCTGCCCAGCACCCTCAGGAGGCAGGGGAATGGCCGAGGAGAAGATCAGGGGGAAGAGGAGGTTCTTTTTTTTTTTGGTCCAGTCGTGAGGCCTGAACTCTGGGCCTGGGTGCTGTCCCTCAGCTCTTCAGCTCAAGGCTAGCACTCTACCACTTGAGCCACAGCGCCACTTCTGGCTTTTTTTCTTTTTGCTTATGTGGTGCTGAGGAATCGAACCCAGGGCCTCATGCATGCAAGGCAAGCGCTCTACCACTGAGCCACCTTCCCAGCCCCGAGAGGGGGTTCTTGTTTTCAACCCATCTTCCTCCCCGCAGACTCGGGAGACTACTTGAGGCAGGTGCTGCAGTGCTCCGACAGCGAGAGCTTGGTCCCCAGTGATGAGGAACTGCACGTGTATGAGAACAAGGTGACTCCTCTCCACTTCCTGGTGGCCCAGGGCAGCGTGGAGCAAGTGAAACTGCTGCTGGCCCACGAGGTGGACGTGGACTGCCAGACAGCCTCTGGCTATACCCCTCTCCTCATCGCCGCCCAGGACCAGCAGCCTGACCTGTGCGCTCTGCTCCTGGCGCACGGCGCAGACGCCAACCTGGCCGATGAGGACGGCTGGGCCCCGTTGCACTTTGCGGCCCAGAATGGGGATGACCGTACTGCCCGCCTGCTTCTGGATCACGGGGCCCTCGTGGATGCCCAGGAGCACGAGGGCTGGACTCCACTCCACCTGGCCGTGCAGAACAACTTTGAGAACGTGGCCCGGCTCCTCGTCTCCCGCCAAGCGGACCCCAATAAGCAGGAGGCTGAGGGCAAGACGCCCCTCCATGTGGCGGCCTACTTTGGCCACGTCAGCCTGGTCAAGCTGCTGACCGGCCAGGGGGCGGAGCTGGATGTTGGGCAGCGGAACCTGAGGACTCCGTTGCATCTGGCTGTGGAGCGGGGCAAAGTGAGGGCCATCCAATTTCTGTTGAAAAGTGGGGCGACCCTCGATGCCCTTGACCAGAGCGGCTACAGCCCACTGCATGTAGCTGCTGCCAGGGGTAAGTATCTGATCTGCAAAATGCTCCTCAGGTACGGGGCGAACCTAGAACTGCCCACGCAGCAGGGCTGGACCCCCCTGCACCTAGCCACGTACAAAGGCCACCTGGAGATCATCCACCTGCTGCTGGGGAGTCAGGCAGACGTGGGTGCTCCTGGAAGCATGGCCTGGACCCCTTTGCACCTGGCAGCCCGCCACGGGGAGGAGGTGGTGGTCTCGGCACTGCTGCGGGGTGGGGCTGACCCCAATGCTGCCGAGCGGGCAGGCTGGACTCCCCTCCACCTGGCGGTGCAGAGGGGTGCCTTCCTGAGTGTCCTCCACCTCTTGGAGCACCACGCAGACGTCCACGCTCGCAACAAGGTGGGCTGGACACCTGCGCACCTGGCTGCCCTAAAAGGCAACACAGCTATCCTCAAAGTACTGGTCAAGGCCGGCGCCCTGCTAGACGTCCAGGATGGAGTGGGCTGTACGCCCTGGCAGCTGGCTCTGAGGAGCCAGAACCAGGGGATCGTGGCCTTCCTGGAAGGCAAGGAGCCCTCGCTGGCCATTCTGGGTAGTGCAGAGCCGGAAGCGCACACTGAAGTGTAGATGCACGGGGGCTCCTTGCCTAGAAGGGACGGGCCCGGTGGAATGACACTTGACCTCTGAGAGGACCCTTTCCCACTGCCCATTAGCCTTGAGAGGAAGCGAGAGCCTGGTGTCCCGGGTGACGGGGAGGGAGAGAGGAAGCACTGGAGCTGTAACTGGGAAAAGAGCCCCCAGTTTCCAGCATCTGTTCCACTGGACCCTGGGCCCCTTCACCCTCTGTCCATGGACTTGAGACTTCACCTTGACCACCTGCAGCCCAGTTCACAAGCTCTGGCATCCCAGGAAAGCGACCCCCACATGAAGAAAGGTCCGGGGGTGAGGGAAATGCTTTCTCCAGCTCAGGTCTATACGTTTGGCACCTCATCCAGAGCTAGGACAGGAGAGCCGCACTCACCTGCTTTGATCAGGGAGCAGAGGCTCCAAGCTCAGAGGAAATGTCGACTCCCTGTGAAACCTCAGCCATGTCCTTGTCACCATTCCTAGAGTCTCCTACACGGTCTCCTGGGGGTAAAGGGAGGGTGTGCCCCAACTGTAGATGAATGATGCGGAATACCAGGTCTCTGGTCCCCAACTCCATCCTTCTTGGTGTCCAGTTATGCAACCAGGTTTCGAACCCTGGATTCAATAAAGCTGTGGATTGGAACCTTTCCACTAGAGATGGGTTATGGACCTCTAAGACATCCATAGGAGCCAGCAGGGTTAGGATGGTGGTGGTGGTGGTGGTGGTGGTGGTGGTGGTGTGTGTGTGTGTGTGTGTGTGTGTGTGTGTGTGTGTGTGTGAAAAACATGTATGGGGGACACACAAGCATGAGGCCCTGAGGGGAGGAGGCAGGTAATGGGAAGAGTGGGTTGAGGGTGTTTGGTGAGGAGCTGCCCAGCTGGAGACTTCCTTTCTTCACAGACAGAGCATGGCTCCTCCCATGACCGCACATGGCCATCCGCTGCTGGCTGGGCATGGCCTGGTGGTGGTGGGCAGGTTGGCGGAGGCGTGGGGCTGGTCACACTCGCTGGGTGTGTTGGGTGTCCTGGCTCAGCGACCATTGAGTTTTCAGAAAGTAGATGGTCATTCAGAAGCCATAGGGAGGCCCAGGGCCTGGGGTGGGGGTAGGGGTGTCTCCTCCCACCCCCTTCCCACCTCTCCACACCGCACCAGCAGTCTCTCCAGATCAAGGCTGTTTTACAACTGTCAGACAGAAACCGCCTTGACTGCCAGCCAGCAGCTCTGGACCCATTGGAAGACTCTCCTTCATGGGATGCTCTCCATGCCCACGCTGGGCACCCCTCCCCGGCCCATCCTTCCCCTGACTGGTATCAACATGGGGTGAGAAACGCCTACCCTTTACCTCAACCAACCTCAAAGCCAGACTCCCCAGCGTTGGATTTTGGTGGGATCACCATGAGCGAGTCCCAAGTGATTCTGAAGAGCCAGCAGGGCTGGAAATGGCCACCAGGGGGCAGCCTGTAGCTCTTCCTTAGCAGAACCAGGAAGACAGACACTGGCCAGCAGCACAGGGTGGAGGGAGAGGGGGTATTTTTCTCTTCTGGGTGGCTAAGTGGGGGAGGGAGGGTCTCATGATGGTCCTCACCATTGCGTGACCTGCCTGCCATCTCTCTGGTCCTGTCCTTCCACATCAGCATCACCCCCTCCATCCTTACCCCCTTCCACATAGAGTTTCCTTCCCCAATCCAGCCCTCCTCAAGGACATCGCAGGATCCTGGGAAACAGCGTCCTCTGGCGGCCTGTTCCTAAGGTGTTGGGTCAGGGAGTCTGTGAGTGGAACTGGCCCAGACAGGCAGGGCAGTTGTGCGAGGCTTGGCAAATAAGCAAATGCCTGTGACCCTCTTCTCAGAAGGGAGGCTAGCTCACCGTGGTCCACAGAGACCTAGGATTTATGGATAAATCCTAAGAGGACTGAATAGATTAGGAGACAACTGCTCCTTCCAAAGCTCCCGGGAGAGAATGACAAGGGCAGAGGATGGAGAGGGAGCACGTTGGCCCCCAGCTTGTGACAGTGGAAAGGGCCATCAGCAGGGCATGGGAGGGTCTGGGCATCGCTGAGCTCATGGATGGAAGCGCTGATCATCTTCTAGCCAGCAACTTTCTTCTCTCCCTGCCCCCCCCTGCAGAACACACCAATCCAACTTGTGAGTGGTGTGCAGAAAGTCAGAGTTCCAGCCGCTCCCCCACGGCTGGTCCTGCCATGGGCTTACCAGCTCATGCCACAGCCTCACTCATGCTAATGTCCAGAGCTCCCTTCTTCTGCCACCGCCTGCTCGCATTCAATCCTTCCTTGTTTGCCCTGCTGGAAATCACCCCCCACTCAAGACACTGAATCAACACCCTCTGTGGCGCAGCGGAGAGAGTTGTTCTCTGTGCACCCCTCAACACCTCAATTTTCAGCATCCCATCAAGCCCCTTCTCAGTACCCACAATGCACAGCGAGTGCTCCACCCATGCTTACTGAGTGGAGTTGTAGGCAGCAGGGGACTGAAACTTCACAGAAGGGACAGAGAGCAGGAATGAGGCTGGGCTGCAGCAGAGGAGGGTAGCTGCGGGAGGCTGAGGTCAGCAGGCCCAGCAAGGGGAATTCGGAACAAGTACCAGCAGAGCTGTGCATTTAGCGGCCTGACCTCAGCTTGCCGGGACTTCTCTAGCCTTGATCTTGTTAACTAGCAGTGATCATGCTTAGCTCCCTGGGTGGTTAAGCCCAATGCTAAGCTGGTCAAATGTCAAGGTCCATTAGTAAACATCCACTACTGTTCTCTCCCATCAGCATCCTGCTTCATTAAGACTCCGAGACCCGAGTGTAGCAAGAAGCCTAAGGAACACAAACACTTAGACTCTGGCCTACTTATGGCCCATCTACCATTAATAACTACACCTTCGATCTGGCCCAGCAGCTGTGTATTTACTGGTACAGTAGCCATCTGCTATCTGCATGGACACCTGGGGTATTATCCTAAAGATCTTATCTCAAAATTATATATATATATTTATCTCTTCCATATATAATACATATTTCTTCCATATATACATATATGTATATATATTATATATTTACTAATACTGGGGTTTGAATTCAGGACCTTCCTTGTTTTTGCTAGGCAGGTACTCCACCATTTGAGACATACCCCCAACCCTTTATTTTCCAAATAGACTCCTGTGTTTCTGCCTGGACTGGTCTGGACAATAATTCTCTTATCTATGCTTCCCACATAGCTGGGATGAGAGGAAGCCATCACTCCACCCAGCTTTTTTATTGATTGAGATAGGGTCTTAAGAACTTTTTACCCATGCTGGCTGCAGATCTCCATCATCTCTGCCTCATCTCTGACTCCCTGGTAGCTATGATTAAGTTTGGAAGAACCTGACTTGAGCTCCTTCCAACTGCACCCAAGACCAGTCAGGACCCTAAGCTGGAATGGATGGCAATAGATGCAGTCAAGAGAGTCAAGGATAGCCCAGCCACTGGGGCAAGCTACCTTCCTGGTGAGAGGAAGAGTGGTGAGTGTAAGAAAGGTCCCCTGGGGTTAGGAGCCATCAGGGAGGACAAAATCCACAGGAGACCCTACATGGATGGATGGAAGGGAAAAGCGCTGAGTGGAGCTGGGAAGGTGGCTCAGTGGTAGCGTGCTTGCCTTGCATGCATGAGGCCCTGGGTTCAATTCCTCAGCACCACATAAGCAGTAGAGGCTGGAAGTGGCGCTGTGGCTTAAGTGGTAGAGCTCTAGCCTTGAACTGAAGAGCTCAGGGACAGTGTCCAGGTATAGGACTGATGGTCCATGGGGAGACAGAACCAGTAGTCTAGGGAGAGTTGGACAGCAGGACAGGACGCCATTGGTGTCTAAGTATGTTGTGGAAAAGGATTCTACATAGGCTGGAAATACCGGTCTTCAATGTTCCTCCTGCAGCTTCCTGCTCCTGTCCAAAGACCACGTGGCTAGAGGACCCAGGGGTCCCTGTCCCGACACACAGGATGAGTCCCAGCTGCCAGTTAGGAGCCTTTTCTGGCTGCTAACCTGCTCATTCAAGGCCCATGAACTCTAGAAAAATGGTGCCCTGCCGCTGTGCAGCCCATGCACATCCTCCCCCAGGTCCTGGAAGCAGGCTGCAGGACTGGCAGAGATCTGCCAGGGGACACAGGAAGTGTTTCCGTTATCGTGTGAGGATCAGGGGAATGTCTGTACTCACATCAAGACCGGGAGCCTGCCAAGGCTTCTTCCCTGTCTTCCTCCCTGCACCTCCCCTAGGACCTGGAACACAACTGCTCACTAAGTTAGCACTGAGTAAGATGACCGTGTGGGGGGGGGGCGGGGAGGGGGGGGAGGAATGACGTCATTTCTCAGCTTACTGGATCACGCCCCTTCTCAATTCCCAGGACATACCCCCAAACGCACCCCCCACCCCCTGACCATTTGAGATTCATCCAAACCCACCTGAAGACCGGCAGGCACCACTGTGCATGCTCCTTCATAGCTGTGTGATTGTGACTCCCATCTGAGGTGAGGTATGCAGGGTACCCACCTGGGGTACCCTGGCTTTGAGGTAGGGGCCTCTGGTCATGCCCTGTGGGAGGGAGGGGCAAGGGAATGCCGCAGAATCCACTTCTTATAAAGGTGAGCGAACGCTCCTTGGAGAGACACAAGCTCATACTGAGCAGCAAAGACAGTGAGAGGGAGAAATTCGGAAATTCAGGTGGCTTCCTTCTCACCCCCCCCCCAAGAGAAAGGGGCCAGGGGCAGGGCCTTTCTGGAGAGCCAGTGTCTGGGTGACCCCCTTCTACCTCTGTGTTCCTGGGTCCCCGCTTTCCCCCATTCCTTTGCCCCTGAAGTGCTGGGAGGAAGGGGGAGGGAGAGCCCAGCCCTCCCCCTGCCCACTCTAGCTGTCAATCTGCTGTCTGGAAGAAAGACTTGAAGCTTCATGACAACTGTGGGCAACTTTCTCCTGCCCCGCCTCCCGCCCCTGCCCTGCCCTCTTCCCCTCTTCTCTCTGACAGGGCTCTTTCTCAGAAGCCTGGCAGGCTTGCTTCCCCTCCAGGGCAGCTCTGGGTCCTCCCTTCCTCTCTCCTTCTTCCCTCTGTCTTTTGTCATTTATCCCCGATCTCACAGCGGGTAAACTAGAATGCCCTCAGAAGCTTCCTAATGATGGGAAACACTCCCAGCCAGGCCAAGATCACCCATAGATTGAGTGCCTGGTGTGATCCTATGGTATTGATGGAAAGGTGGGTGTCAGTAGCTAAGAGGTCCCTAGGGCTTCTGAATCCTATGGGGGTCTAAAGCCTTTCCCGGGAGGTGGTCACTGTGTGACTTGGCCGCACTGGGGACATGTTGTCCTCCATTTCTGGAGTCAGAGATGCCAGGAGCCTCTTCCCAGGGCGTGGTGCTACATTGGAGTTCGGGAAGAAGATCAAAGTCCATAATTAAACGTTCAGGGCAAGTTAAGTGCTCCAAACTTTGGTGCTAAAAATATTGTATTTAGCATGCAAATTATGCCCTGACAGCTCCCAGAGCCTGAGCCTGTGGGTGCCTCCACCTTGTTTGTCATCACCCTGTTATTCGCAAGGTGTGCAGAACATTCTTCTTTCACGGGGTTCATTTATATTTCATCTTTCACCAAAAGAAAAAAAATCACCAAATTTCTGTTGCTAGGGCAGTACCAATTTGCAGCCCCCACGGGTTTGGAACTATGTGTGGACTGGCCTGGAATGAGAGCAGGGACAACTTGGTCAGGCGACAGAAACGGGACAAATTGACAGAGACAGACACAGGCCAATAGATTAACCTCAAAGGTCACCTTGCTCATGAAGCTTCCTCAGCCCCAGTGGATTAGAGGGCAAACAGGCAGGACCTCGAGAAGTGAGGATATCCAGTTCTTCTCATAGACCCCTGCCAGACACAGAATGTGAAGCTATCCTGAATGCTAGGGATGCTGGCTCTGCTCCGGGCCATCCAAGAGCCCTAGGAAGAGACTCTTGTCAAAGTTTTATTGGTTTGCATGTATAGTGATGTTACAGAGTCTGGGGCCCAGGGCTCTTCCTCCAGCTGTGGCTTCCATTCTCCCGCAGGGCAGGGCCAGGCCGGGTCCCCTGTACTCAGCAGCCTCTTAGCCAGGGACTCCTCTAAGGGCAGAGGCACTGGATGGGAAGGGAGATGAGAGAGAGAAGAGGCCAGAGGGTAGAGGCTCTGTGGCAGAGTGGAGCAGGAGGAAGCTCCCCTCTTACCCTCCACCCTCCCCACCCCCAAAGAACTTCAGGTCTCTCCAACTCAAGCCCACACATGGGTCCAAGGCTCGACTTCCCAGGCCAGCCAGCAGGAGCTATGGGAAGAGATGCATCGGAGGCCAGTCAGAAAGTGGAGGAGTAGGCTGGGGGCTGTGCTTCTCTGCCCGCCGATCTTCTTGGGGAGGGGGTCCTTGAAGATTAGGGTTCCTTCCCCAGAGGGGCATGGAAATTTGCCTGGGTATCAGTAAAGGGCAGGGGTGGGCAGGAACCACTGTTAGAGAAAATAGAGGCTCACGCGAGGGCTGATGCGGGAGCTAAGATATTTGGCTTCGATTTCTCTGGGGTCTGATATTTACATGGGTTTCTCAAGACGGAAGTTCCCCTGGAGGCGGGGCATAGTGAGAGATCCTGCTTTCCCCCACGGGGGTTGTGGCAGGGTGACCTGCCACCTCTTCCCCTCTCTGCCCCAACACAGAGCAGAAAGGACCAGACAAGCCCAACCCACTGGGAGTGCTAGCCCGATGCCGAGCTTGATTCCCGACAGACCCCAGCACCCCAGAGGAGGATCAAGGAAGGCAGCTGCATCTTTGGTGCCAAGGAGATGAGGCTTGGTGGCGGAAGGGGGGACTCTGTGAGCTGCCCTGAGCCGGGGTGGGTCCAGCCTCTGGGCTGGCACCAGGCCTGGCTCCCCAGCCCCACCCTGGCAGAACAAGGGTGTTTGGGTAGAGAGGGGCAGAGAGGAGCCAAGCTAACACTGCAGGGCCTGCAGGACAAGCACAAGGCCCAGTCCACCCAGGGCACTTGTGCCCATGGCTTGCAGGGGTGAGGCTTGGCAGGCCCGGGCAGGGAGGCAAGGAGAAGCAGCTGCTGTGCAGGCGGGCGGCAGAGTCAGCAGTGTAGGATCTTCATGAAGGCCTTGCGGAACTCGATGTTGAAGGTGGTGTAAATGATGGGATTCACCGCACTGTTGACGTAGCCCAGCCACGTGAAGGCGCTGTAGAGGACCGGTGGGATGTCACACTCACAGTGTATGTTCAGGATGTGCGTGATGAAGAAGGGCAGCCAGCAGATGATGAACACACCTGGGGAGAGGGCAGGGTCAGCCTGGCCCCGGCCAGAGAGAGAGGCTGGGCTGGGCGAGCTCTCTGCTCAGTGGGGCCCAGGAGCAGCCAACCCAGGAACTGAGAAGTTCAAGGAGCCCTAGCCTTGGATGCCAGACCCGCCTCTGACATCCGCCTGCAGGGAAGGGCTTCTTCACCTGCCTCTGTCGGATTTTTCTTCATCTGACAAATGGGTGAAGACTTCGAAAAACAGATCAGAAACGTTAGCATTCTGACCCAAGTCAGCGGGTAAGGATGGAAGCCCCAAGGCTACGCTTCCTCGTGCTGAGGTTGGAAGAAATTTTCTCTTGGCGATGTGGGACACAGTTTGGGGAGAGGGCGCCCTAAAACCTACCTCGCTTAGTTCCCAGCTCGTCATGGCTCTGCAATGGACCCAGAGCCAATCAGCTCTTAACTGACACAGCTGAGATCTGAATTCCAGTCTGTCTACATCCCACAATGTCCAGACTCTTGTCCCAGCCTTCTCCCAATCTCCCCAGGCTTGGACACATGGGGACACGTCTTCTCACACTGGCAAGAGCCCGTGTAGATGACAGCACAGGGCCTGGCCCCAACCCTTCCTGCTACACTTCAACCAGGTCATCCATCAATCACTGGCAGCTTCTTAACTGAGTGGGTCTAGGGTCCCACGCTCCCATTCATAAGTTGAGAACAGTCACATCCGATCACTCAAATCCTGGGATGGTCGAGGCCTCAGAGTGGGCCACAGGTGCCATGCTGGCTAGCTCACATCTGTCCCTTCATTCCCCAACCACCATGCCAGTCCACCTTTATCACAGGGTTTTCTAGCGACTTTCATTCAAAAGCTTTACTCGACGGACGGGGCTACTCCCTTATTTAGGCCTGGAATCATCTTTCAAGGACCTCTTTGATTTTTTTTTTTCATAGCTTTTGGACTACTGGGACTCGGTTGGGTATAAATATATATTCCTCAATCCCTACTAGTGACAGTAACCAAAACATAAAAATAGCGTCATAATAATACTTATTGCTGTATTCTATTTTGCAAAGCCTTTGTAAGATGCTTTCTCTAGCCACAATAACGTTGACACAACCCAGTCTACAAGTGGAGAGGCCAGAGAGAGAAAAGCCACCTGTCCGGAGTTATAAGGTTCTGGGCCTCCCGGCAGATCCATGATGTTTACAGACTCTAAAGTTAGATGGCCTGAGGGCAAACCCTTGGAAACTTCCTTGGCCAAGTTATAGAACTGCACTAATCCTTGGTTTTTCCATCTGTCAAAGGGGCACAATTCTAGAATCTACCTAATAACCGGTCTGTCTATATGCCGATTGGTGTGGCCTATGTGTGAGAAAGTGCTTGACCCGTGACTCTCCAGCCATGGTCAAGAAGGTATGGCTGGGGTTTGGGGTTTACAATGGTGGACCCTTTCCCCCGGTCAGGACTGGGCAAGGCTGGGCTGTGGCCAATAGAAGAACCAACTCACCAAGGACAATGGCGAGCATCTGCGTGGCTTTCTTCTCCTTCTGCTGGGAGAGCTTCCTGCGGCTCATGGTTTTGAGCGAGGTCCGGGTTTTACCATTGGGCATGGACTGGATCTCAAAGATCTTGGCAATCTTGGGGTGGTCTTTGGCATGCCCGTTCTTCTCTGGTTTGGCAGGGCTGTCGGGATTGCCGTGGAGGCCGTGGTGGGAGGGGTCGGGGAGGGTCAGCTGGTGGTGGCTGGGTGGGATGGGGCTGTACCGGGTCCTCTCGGGTGGGCTGGTACTGGACAGCATTTCCATCTCCAGCTCTTGGGCTCGGCGGGCAGCCTCCTGCACCAGAGGCAGACAGCTCTGGGTGAAGCTAGGCAGGTTCTCAAAATCCCCTGGCTCCCCCGTTCCCCACCCTGGCCTTCCCTTATCACCCGGAGGACTCCTCTAAACACCAGGGTCACCATGCCAAGAAAGCAAGAAGGACTGGCCCTGGAAGGTTTCTCAGGACCCTGAGAAGCTGTCCCTGGCCCCCTTCCCAGAGCAATTCTTAGGCAGCGATAAGAGCCCCAAATCATTTGAAGACTTAGGACCCTCTATGTCTCTTTAATTACCTGAGTGATGCTAGCTAAGTACCAGGTACCAAGCAGCTGGCTGCTGGGGACTAATCTCTGCAGGCTTGACACCCACCTCTGTGGCCCTTGCTAGGCTGAAGCATGGGACCCACACTCCCCTTTCACAGGTACCTGTACCAGCATGCACAGACAGGATGACCAGTCTGATACAGGAGCTGAAAGGCTGAGCTCCCAACCTGGGGCTCAACATCCATGGTGGGCTGACCTGAAGAACCTGGCATGGACCCACTCACAGTCTCCCAATTCTGCCTTAGACTCCCCTATTTGGGCCGTGGTGGTCTCAGCCCCAGTTTCTTCAGCCTATGAGCCCAGAGAGCACAAGTAGGCCACTACTCTGAACCCCCGGTTTGGCACTTTCCTCATCAGCAGTTCCCTCAGGTCCTGCCTTCCTAATGCCAGTGAATGGCAGGAGCCTTCTACAGGACAGCTCACTTGACTCTGCGTGCAACTCTGTGGCTCCCTGGCTTGTCCTCTGCCCCTCTAAGGGATGAAATGCCTCCAACTTGGCCCAGTTCTGGATCCACACCTCTGGATGCTACGTTCAGGCTGTGCTTCTCTGCTGGCCCCTGTGGCTGCTCTGCTCCACCTTCCCCCACTCCTGGCCTCCAGCTCTAGAACCTGCCTGCCTACAAGGCAGCTCATGCCAGGGTTAATAACTCAGGAGTGGATGTAGAAGACACACAGGTATGGACTCAAATGTGTGCTCTATCATTGTTTTAGATTTGGACGAGTTGTCGAAACTCTCTGAGCCTCAGTTTCCTCTTGGAACTAAAGATGAAGAAGATCAATAGGACTTACCTCCCGGGGTCGTGGTGAGGATTTGATGAGATAATAGGAACATGGCAGAGGTTTGAGAAGTGGAGATAGCCATCATCACCACTTTTGTTATATTGTTGTAGCCAAGCCCCTTCTCCCAAGTTCTTACATGTACCAGGCATATACACTGGCTTGGAAGTGTTGCGGGGGCGGGGGGGATCTGCCCTCAGCTGAGGCAGAGCTGGGGTACTAGAATGTTCTTTCTCCTTTGACCAGCTGGTGAAGGCTGGTAGGCTGCCCTAAGGGTTGAGAGACTCGGTCCTGGATCCCTGGCCTGAACACTTACCACTCTCCGCCTGTTCACTGGGAAACTCCCATTAGACTTCATGATAACGGTGCAGAGTTTCATGTCCTCGGGGTGAGTGCAGTTACCCTGTAGAACGAGCCAGCACACGGGTCATAGGAGGCAGTAAGGGGCAGGGGTGGTGAGGGGTCAGAAACCCAAAGCAGTTGAGGTCCATGGAGAACTCAGACTTGGAACTGGGGCTCAGAGATCAGAAGGCATTCGGGGCAAGAAAGGAGGTCGGTACTATGATGAGAAGGTAGGCAGAAGCAGGGACGCAGGGGCCCTGTTCTTGTAGAGCACCTGCTTAGGGTTTGGCATCATGTTAAGCACATGCTCACATCCTATCTCTCATCAAATCAAGACCACCCTGAGAAGTCCACATTAGAATTCCCATTTAAGAGATGAGGAAATCGAGGCTCACAGAAGTTAAGCAACATGCCCAAGGTCACTCAGGGGAAAACAATGAAACACAAAGTGGTAGTGCCAAGATTTGTACCTGTGTGTCTTATCTGAAAGCTCTTGTTCTTCCCATGCCCACAAATTGTTTCATAGGGAAGGTTGAGTAGAGGGGGAAATTCGTACAAAGTAAGAGTAGGAAGATGAGCAAGGAGAGAAGCAGGGAGAAGAGGGAAGAAAGCAGGAGTGGTACAGGGAAGGAATTGGGGCGAGAGTGGTAGAGACAGAATAGCATTGGAAGAGACAGAGGGAGGGGAAAAATGATGAAGGAGAAGCCAGCATGGAAAAGAAGAAGCTAAGCAAAGATAGAGGCACCAAGGAAGGTACCAAGCAAGAACTGCTGTGTCCAGTCACAAAGATCCCTAAGCAGATGTCTCCTCCTAGTTGGTACCCACCACCATGTGCCCCCTGCTGGACATTCAAGTCTGCCCACTGAGGTCCAAGCCCTCAACTCAGTTCCTAGACCTCAACCAGCTGCTGGCCTCCACCTGAGCATGGCATGATCTCCCTTGGGGATGGTTGGGTACGGACACTTGGAGGGAGGATCATGGGAGGATCATGGGACCTTGAGAGGAGTCTTCAGGTTGGCTCTGAAAGCTCGGCTACTGCGTTTGGTGTTGACCCGCTTTCTGCGCTTTCGGAGGACAATGTAGATCTTGATGTAGACCAGCAGGGTGACGATGAAGGGCACGTAGAAGGAGACGATGGAGGAGTAGACCACAAAGGCAGGGTTGGCGATGATGCACTCATTCTGATCTGGGGGAAAAGAGAACTGCGAGTGGTCAGGACATCAGTGGGCCCACTGGGCGACGATCCCATCCTCCTTGTTGAGATGAGGGGCTGGGATTCTCTGCTTCCCAGTTTTCTCCTCCCTGTTGCCAGGGGCACATGGAAGCCCAGTAGTCCCCTGCCACGTGCGTGAGCATGCACACGTGCAGTTGGCAAGGCCGTCTGGCTTGCTTCAGCTTAATAAACAAAGTTGAAAATGGCCAGACATCTTTCTGAACCATTTTCCTGACTCTTCACCCAGGTCTGTTGTGCCTTGGGCCATTGTTGCCTTTTTAGCCCAACCTGGAATAAGTCTGAGTTGGGCTGGGCCCTAAACATCTAGCCTGGCCTCTGTCCAAGTGGGTGAAATGAGCTCCCACTGGATCTCTGCCCCTATCTGTGCCAGGCTCTCAGAGCCACCTGAAACTCAGATAGACAAAGATAAGACTCACCTGTGTTGTTGAGTCCGAAGAGCAGTGGGCAGGAGATGGTGAAGGACAGGACCCAGACGATGGCGATCATGACGGTGACTCGGCGCTTGGAGCTGTAGCGTGTGTTGTAGAGCATGGGCATGGCCACAGCTGTGTACCTGCATGGGTAGAGGCCCTGAGACTGAGATGCAGGCCTAGGGACCTCTTACTCTCCAGAATGCATATGGCGGATACACCCTTGTTCTCTGGACTAGACAGTAACAGTCACTACAAAGCCTCACCAGATCCTCATACTCAACCCTTCCAACCACCCCCACACTCAGACCCCAAGGACAGCTGGTAGAATCCATTCACTTAGTTTGGAATGGCCAGCTACCTTGTACTCCTATAACAAAGCTACTATTTTAATTGCTGTAACTGGACTTCAGGCTTCTTAAGGGGTGATGTCCTGGGTCTTTACATACTGAAATGACACTATCTCTGTGCTGCATCCATAGAAACTAGAAGTGCTCTTCTGTTTCTACTTCTTACTCATTAACTTGTTTCATCTTTCAAGAATCCCATGCCAGGTGCTAGTGGCTCACACTTGAAATCTTAGCTACTCAGGAGGCTGAGATGTGAGGATTGCAGTTTGAAGCCAGCCCCGGGGAGGGAAGTCTGTGAGAGTCTTATCTCCAATAAACTACTCAAGTAAAAGCCAGAAGTGGCACTGTGGCTCAAGTGGTAGAGTACTAGCCTTGAGAAAAAGAAACTCAGGGTAGGGCCCAGGCCTTGAGTTCAAGCCTCAGGACCAGAGTGCACATGTGTGCAAGCACACACACACACACACACAAATCTCATGAGATATTTGGAGCACCTCCATGGTACAATCTGTGCAAATTAGTGAAAGGCTCTGAGGAACCGGCTGGGAGAAGTGAGGGTAGCCTGGATCCTCCGGGAACAGTTGATCTGTACTAGACACAAAATGCAAAAAGCAAACACTGCAGCCCAGGAAACCAACATTCTCATCATCAGTGTCTAGAAAATGAAAGAGCGCTAAGAACTTCCACAATCTGTCCACAGGTGCATAAAAAGTAAAAGTGTTAGACTTCAATCAGAATGTACTCTTTTATACCAGTCACGGTCTGGGAATTCTTGGTGACTTCAATGTGTGTAAATAGCCTACCTTTAGGGGCTATTCTGTATTATCCTAACCTCCCCCCATCACACAATAGACACTTGTGCACACAGCCAGCCGTAAAGCATCACTGACTCAGAGATGAGATGGAGTAATCACAAGGAGGGAAGGCCAGCCTGGCTGAGCTCACCTGTCGATGCTGATGGCACACAGGTTCAGGATACTTGCTGTGCACATCATGACATCCAGGGTGACGAAGATGTCACAGTGAATCCTGCTGAATTTCCACTCACCCACCACCTGAGGACAGAGCAACGTGATGGGAAGACAGCAGGAGGGGACATTTGCCCAGCACTATGGCTCCATCTCCCTAAGACAGTTGGCTAGACTCAGAGCATGGCTGGTGGGAACACTGTGGGCCTCCAGTTGGGGTGTGGGGAGCTATGGGGGAAGAGTGCCTCTCATGAAAGACTGGAGGCCTGGCCTCTCATCTCCCACCCACCTAAGTCCACTTGGTGCCAAGAACTTTACAAAAAGGCATGACAACCCACCAAAAAGGAGGGCCTCAATTTTGAACCTTCTAAAACATGTATGCCATCACCTTGTCTATTTGGCATCTGTTCATCATAGGGACAACTATTATTAGCTGCATTTTCTTAAAATTCTGTGTTCTTGATGCTCTATTATTTGGTAGCCTGCCCAGGGAGAGATAACCCTTCCCCGGGCCTAGCTAACTCCTTAAACCAGCACACCATCCATCTCTTGTACTCAAGTCGACCTCTCCCTTTATGCTATGCACACCACGCCAATATTTCCCCCATCCCAAATCATCCCAAGGCCAATGCCAAGAAACTAAGGTTATCCAATAACCCAAAGCCATTGGAATTACTCAGATTAGATAATCCCTAAACTTCCCTTTCTGCCTTGCCTCTTATTTCCCACAGAAGCTCCCATAAAAGCCATGTCCTGGGTTTCTCCTCACCCCTGCTTCTGCTTCTGCCTCAAGCTGGTACTTGGTCCTGCACCCCTCTGGGATAGCAGTCTGTGCCTCTCCTTCCTAACGGAGTGTGAGTAGTGCTGTAGTGTTTTCACTGGCATAGACCTCTCTGTGTGGCCACTCAGGGATACTTCTGTGTCATCTCAGTATCATCTAGAATGATTCTTAGATATCACTTTGGAACTCCTACAGGAGGAAACTACACTTGGAAGAGTGCAGTGACTCAAGGTTCAAAGGCCATTGGCTCAGCTATGGTCCTGCATTGGTTTAGTTCTGTAGGCCACATAAGTCCTTCCATGCCTCCTAGCCATGTGTGTGTGTGTGTGTGTGTGCGCACGTGCGCGTGCACGCACGCACACACACACACACACACACACGCGCGCCACAAAGCTAGGACCCTAGAATGGTCAGGCTTGCCTGATCAGCATCTAACAACATCGCTGACACAGGGCTGGGCTCAGCGCTACTCTCCATCTTGGGGTACAGAGGTGGGCTCCGTCCTGTGTATTACAGGTCATTGCTGCCTCTACCTGAGGTCCTAGATAAATTAGAGCAACACCTCAGGTTCCTGACATGAGGAGAGAGGGATGAGTTTCAGGGTTGGGACTCTTGTCAGTTACTTACGTTTCCAGGACTAACTATAAAACTGATTCCAGGACCTGCTAGAGAAGTCACCTAGCTGGCCTGACCACCTGCTATGTCATCTGAAAAATGATGATCAGGCTAGTCTCCCAGAGCTGCTGAAAAAAAAAAATGCTCATCGAGAGTACCTAACATAAGACCCAGCACTGTGACTCTTCATGAGATAATCTGTCCACTTTATGAGCAAAGTTGAGCCCAGAGTAGAGAGAGAGAGACGACCTGGGGAACTGGCAGGCAAATGTATTGGTAGAAACCATCAGAAAGCTGAAATCCAGGCTCCGGTACAGAAGCCTCCTGGAGCAGGCAGAGACCAAGGCAGGGGGCCCAGACCTACCTCCAGGTAGACGACCCATGGCATGACTAACGTGGCCACCAAGAGGTCAGCCACAGCGAGGCTGACAATCAGGTAGTTGGTGGTGGTCTGCAGGGCCTTCTCTCGGGACACAGCCATGCACACCAGCACATTGCCAAAGACGATGACGAAGATGAGCAGGGTGAGCAGCATCGCGTAGTAGTTATAGTGGGGCCGGTCCGCCTTTCCTTCCGACTCATTGAAGGGCCGGCTCCAGTTCTGCCTCTCCAGGTCCTCATCGTACCAGGACAGATTCAGGGCATCCATCGGGGCAGCGGAGCCACTTGGTGGCAAGACTCTGCCAGGAAACAAGGACATGGAGGTAAGCAGAGGGGCCTCCCAAGTACACTGACTCCCACAGAGGGCTCTGGGCTGATAAACCAATCGTGGGTAGTCAACAGAGAGACTTCTCTGACCTCGGGATCTCAGCTTATGCATCCAATGACTTTTTATAAAAACAATGTCGGGGTTGCTGACACTCTCATGTTAGCAGGTTCTTGCAGAGGGCAGAATGATTGAGTACGCATTTTAAAAGCATAAATGATAATAATAATAAATGAGCTCAGAAAGAACCGATCATTCTTTCATTTCTTCAACACACGCATGAGCACAATTCATGTACCATCTACTTTACGTCTGCCAGGAGAAACACAAGCAGGTATCCATTCACTCTTGAGATATTATAAATATTTGCTAAGTGTTGCTCTATATTATGCCATCAATAGAGGCAGGAAAAACAATACAACATGGTTCTACCTTTCACATTCTGGAAACTAAAACAATACCCAATTAATTTAGCTATTAAATCTGAGTGATATAGACTCAGAAATGTAATAGGGAGGGAGATACATATTCTAGCTTAGGCAGTGGAAGGCTACTGGAGAAAGCTGAGCACCAAGTGAAGGGGTCACGACATATCTAATGGGAAGCTCCAAGAGGTGAAAACTTCCAGAAAGAGGTGAATCTGAGAGCTCTTCAAGCAACTAAGAGGGGAAATTGGCTGGGGTGATATTCCAGCCAAGGAGAAAATAGCATGGACCCAACAGTAAGTGGCTCTATCTGTCTGTGAGGTTGGAGGAAATTAAATAGAAGGGATATTCATAGGCCAGCACAGATATGGTCAGATTGGGAGACCCTGAAAGGCTCAGAGCAGAGAAGTGAGCCCAGTGGAATGGGTTCTGAAAAGACCATTGACCATTACGGTATGGAGGAGAGTTCGGAGTGAAGAGAGGTGGCTAGAATTCAGGTGAAGAGATGGTGATCACAGAATGAAGGCAGTGATAATGAGGACAGAATGAGGAGCTAACTTAGCAGTCAGTCTCATGGAACTTGGTGATTGGATAAATGTGGACAGGAGAGGGAGGGATGGAGTGAACAGGGAGAGGAGGAGTCTAGAGCCACTCCAGGATTCCCGCCTGCTTTGGGCTCTGGAAGGCTAGCAGTGGTGTGCTCACAGAGAAAAGGGAGCAGAAGGGCTCCGGAGAAGACACTGGGAGCATCAGGTATCACACTTAACAGCCCATTTGAGTTGTGCGTGTAATAGCGTCAGTTGTCCTACTGACCAAAGTGTCTCCATTTCCTTCAGTGGACTTTCAATTCACTTTCTGGGCATTTCTAGGCCTTCCACAACAAAGCACCATGATTTCCAGACACTTTGCTATCTAAATAGACTTGAAATCAGGAAGACCATAGAACTATGCCCAAATAAGGAGTGAGCCATGATCACTGCAAAAAATCAGAAGGAGGGGGCTGGGAAGGTGGCTCAGTGGTAGAGCGCTTGCCTTGCATGCCTGAGGCCCTGGATTCGAATCCTCAGCACCACATAAGCAAAAAGAAAAAAGCCAGAAGCGGTGCTGTGGCTCAAGTGGTAGAGCGCTAGCCTTGAGCTGAAGAGCTGAGGGACAGCGCCCAGGCCCAGAGTTCAGGCTCCATGATCGGACCCCAAAAAAAAAAACCAGAGGGAGTATGAAGGCTCTGCCCAGCTCTATGTCCTCAGCCCCATCTTCCAGCCCTCAAAAGAGGGGCGTGGATGGACCATGTCCTACCCAACATCACTGGTGTGGGGGCTATGGGGAAAGCAAAATGCCTCATTCCCTGAGAGGTAACAGAACGTTGCTGTGCAGCAGGTTTTCAGATGCAAAGGCTGTGGGGCATTGTGTCCTTATTAATACCGGATTCCACAGCAGTCAACCTGGGTGTGGCTATTGATCAGGCAACCAGGGCTGGCTTTTGAGCTTCATTTCTCCAGCCAGCATCTATTGAACCTGTCATGCATAAAACATCGTGTGAAACCATATCCAGAGCCTGAAGACTCTGTGGGAGGCACACTCACTACAGAAAGCTCATTCCTCCCCTAACTTGCTCAGTCCCCCTGCTGGTCTAGCTAGTGGCATCTGCCAGGACTCTCAGCAACCTGCCTCCCCTCAATCCTATCCTCACACCCAGCCAGGCATCTGTTTCCTTTCGACAGTGCAATTCTGCCTTTAAACTTGCAAAGGGGTGGAGAGTTTGCCAAGTTATTTTGGATGTCGTGTTTCATTTATCCTCGAAGCCACTCTCTGAGATTTTTGGTTACCATCCCCACTCCACAAATAAGGAAAGTACCTGGAAATCTCCACAGAGTGCCCACGCATTGTTCAAAGAGAGAGTGGCTCAAATCCTCCTGCTCTGATGCCTGCCGCTGTGTCCCTGTCCCTGCCTGGGCCATCTCTCTTTGTCCTTGGGTCTCTGCTAGTGCAGTCAGTCTAGAGTAGAACCCATTTGTGGGTCTGCTTTTTTTTTCCACCGAGGTATAGCCTCAAGGGTTTCACAGTGCTGTTCAGATCTCTTTAATGGAAAATTAAAGCAAATTAAACATGCACACACAATCTTGCCAATTTCTGGCCACCTATTCTGAGGTGTGCAGGCAATGTACAATAGCTGTTGGCTGAACTGAGTCAAAGCCTCTGTTAGAATCCCCAAGAAGAAAACCCCCAGTCTTGAAATACACCTGATAACATATACCACTATCTTCACAAGTGTCAAAAAAAAATAACTCAGCCCCAGAGCATCATGCGTCAATGCTGGGTATAGGCTGAACTGTGATGCTTACAACAATCCTATGGTGAAGCCTTCACTCCAGTACCTCAGAATGTGATTGTATTTAGAAACAGGGCCTCTGAAGAGGAATTTCACTTAAAACGAGGGCATGAGAGTGGGTTCTAATTGAGTCTGACTTGTATTCATTTAAGAAAAGGAAACATAACGGACCCAAAAGACAGCAGGGATGTGCACACAGAGGAAAGACCACATGATGATACTGGGTGAAGGGGGAGGGCTCTGACTCAGCAAAGCCTGTCTCTGGGTCCTGGCTGCAGGACAGGCCTGAGAGAATCCTAGGGAGCAGCTAGGCTGGAAGACCCAGCTGTCCAGATCCACCTGCTATATAGGCAATGACTGTAGTTCTCATCACCGCATTGCAGAGGCTGTGCCATGCCCCAAAATCGTTTCATACAACACTCAGAGGGGGGAAAAAACGCCATTGAACTCCAGCACAATTCTAAGATGTGGCCAGCTCTAAAATGCATCCTGATTTCATAGACGCTGCAATGAGAGGGAATGTGCATCTTAGAACGGATGAAACAGACTGCCTTCCTGGCATTTCTCTGCTGACATTTTCTCGGGAGGCCTGGAGGATACCGGCCAGCCCCAGGCTCAGTATGCTCCAGCCCTGTCTGTCCTTTTTGTCCTTCTGCTTCTGGGTCATACTGGTTATTGGGTTCCCAGTGGCATCCCAGGAGAAGGCAGAGAGGAGCAGCCAAGAGAACCTGAGTATCCCCTCAAAGCCCGGTCCTTGCTCTCCCCTGGCCAAGCTTGCCTATCCTGGCTAGAGTTTGTGCTCCGGAGGGGGATGGAGGGAAGGTGCTCAGGAAGGCAGCGTGGAGCTCCTCGGTGGCCCTAACTCCAAAGAAGTCATCTAAGGCCTGGGATTACTGTGGGATCCAGTGTAAGGAAGAGACTAAACCACACATCATCCATCCCCTTGGATTTGCTGGAATTTGTTGTTGTTGTTGTTATTTGGGGGGGGACATAACTATATAACCCTAAGGTGAATTATCTTTGCAGTCATAGATTTTTCAGATGAATGATTACATTATTTTTTTTAAAAATCTATTGCCCAACGAGTATGCTGATTTCAGATTATAAAATAAGATCAACTTCTTCGCTCAGATGCCACCTCCAGCTCCCTCCTCAGTGGCTCTGGCCTTGAGCAAAATCTTCAAATCACAGACCCCAGTCAAGGAGCATTTAGTAGCCACCAAATGCTGTAGACACAGTCACGACAGTATCTCAGGCCTCACCAGTGTGGTCTCTTGGTGGTGTCTTCTGAGAGAAAGGTGGATGACTGAACCCTGCTGGTAAGCTCCACAAAAGTGTCTGTTCCCCAAAGTGGCAAAGAGTAGCAGATGCTTCAGGACAAGCTTTCTCCCCATCCCAGGTGCTCTGGATTCCTTAGGCTGTGCGTTCTTAGCCACCCTGGTAGAAGGTGGGAATGAGGAGGGGAAACTTGCTTTCAAGTTTCAGTTCACCCAAGAGCCAGAAACCGTCATCTGTCCCTAGTATCTACTGTTGGGTACTAGCAGAGAACTCAACAAAAGAAAGCAAAAGAGGAAGAAAACAAAGGAAGAATGAAAGGAAGGGAGGGAAGAAGGGAAAGATCTCTCAAAATCAGAGCTAGGACTCTGGCTCAGAGGTAGACCACCTGCCTAGAATGCACAGGATACCAAGTTCCGTCTCCAGCACTGAGGGTAGGGGGTATGGGGCCATGGGGCCATTCTAGTGCTTGATTCCTCTCTCCATCAGGTTTCTCTGAACATCCACCTCACTCTAACTTTCCTAAATAATGGCTTTCTGGAAGCTTCAGAGCAGAGCTTCCCCACAAGATGTCTGTAGTAAAGTAAGGCATATGGAAATATCAGGCCAAGAGGACTGTAGAGTCAGGCATTTCCAACCCCAGCTGCCTCTGGCATTAGCCCTACGAGTCTTACAAATGTTCTGCTTCTTGTATGTGCCCCAATTTGGAAATTAGCTCCCTCTCCAGTTGCCAAGTGCTCAGAGACTGGGGCTAAGCCAAGGCATGGCCTACGGGCATCCCGCTGAGTCCACTCTGGGGTTCTGAGACTGAGAACACAGCAAGGGGCCGTGGAGAGGCTGTGGCTGATCTGCCCAGCACACTCCAGGGGCCTACAAACAGAGACAGCACCTCACAAGTAAGTCAAGTATGTCAGAAGAAGAGAGACTGCTTTAAGGCTACCCCATT